GTCAATATTTGTCGCCTGGGGGGGGGGGCGGAGGATTTTTTGGGGGGATCACACGGTTTTCAAGGGAACAGAGTGGGGTATCAGCCCTAATTGACAGGTGCTAAGGGGGGACCAGGAAAAAAAGGAGAAAATTTGAAGTGGTGGGTTCAATTTATTACTTTTTTGATTATCTTTTTCAGACACGAACTAACATAATGAAATAGTCAGTGGTGATGCTTATGTATTAATCGTGATGCTAAAAAATGTTTACGTTCTATTGTTAAAATGTCCATAAAGTTCCATGTTTAAAATTCTTTAGAGTCGTTGAAAGATATCCCCGTATATGAACGTTCGATAAACGTGGCGGGGCACCGTCATTACAAACAACAATAACAGAAGTCAAGAAATATAAACATGACACGAGCCATAAATCAGTATTCGCGGACGTACCGGGAAACAGACTTCAGTCACTAAAAACAGCTTTACTGAAATCTGGCCCATATTATTCTCGATCACTTGACCACTTATTCTCTAGTGATTACTTCGCTGGTCTTTGAACTGGGAAGTATTGACTCAAGACAGATTAAATCAGCGAGGGTGCTAAGCCAGCAGATGAAAATTGTACGAAGGGAAAACGCCTAACGCGTAAATCCCGCTCAGTCATACAGCAGCTCATCTTCCTCTGCTGGCATCATGTGCTTCACTTGTGGCAGAAAACTTTGTGCTCGGATTGGTCTTCTCAGCCACCTCCAAACTCACAGAACGTAAGTAAGGGCGTCATGGGCGAAGTCATGGTCATCGGAATGAAAAAAAAATTCCGTATAGAAAGATTGGTGATTTTCAGTTCGGCCTTTGCAAACAAAGGTGAAGTAAACAATCGCGTAGCTTAAACAAACGAGACTTTATTGAGGTCCATCGCAATCAAATGATGAATTGACGATGAATTTCCTTGTATCAAGTTTAAACTGTGTGAATTAAATAATGAATATGAATAATTAACTTGTTTTGTTAATCACCAACCGAGATTTACAGACAACCGACAAATATCGAAAAATTTAACCGACAACCCACAAAGTAATGAAATTTTTAACGACAACAGACATGTGAACCCCCCACCCCCCTCCCCATTCAGACCCTCTCACAGCATTCGGTACCGTCTACCAGCAGCCCGACTTTGGCGCCTTCAGTCGGAAAAGCGTTTGCAGTTGGCCCCGGTTACGCGCCAATTCCGGGAAAACTGGTGGCTAAAATAACAAGTGGCGCCCTTGTTGAGTTTGTGGATCTCCTAGCGGAAACCATGCGCGCTCAAGAGGCAGAGCCTCATACCTATTTGGATGGTAAACTTGTTGGTGCCCCTGCCCAAAAAAAGGTGGTAGGGATCACCGACATTTTCACACGGATTCAGGCCTTTACCATTTACCAGTGGATCTTTTGCAGTACCTACCCTTCTCGCTGGCAGGATAATTCTCAGTATAAGTCACTGATCTTCCAGACAGCTTGTCAGTGTCCTGGACCAGCTTGGTTGAATTACGACACAGCATTCAGGAAGGATGCTGCAGGGTCTCTTTCAGCCGATTGGTCTAAGATAAACCTGGATTTATACAACTTCCACACTCGTGCGTCCAGCACCGTAACCAGTCAATCAGCACCTCGCTCCACTTCTTTGCCCCATACTCAGCCTCGTTGAAATCCTACCCAAGCGTTCCTTTGACCCCATTCAGTATTGTCGATCCTGGAATGATGGTGCCTGTCGCTGGTCTCTGGGTCAATGTCGGTATCGTCATGTCTGCGAACGATGCAATGGTCAACACCCCCTTACCAACTGCCCCGTTCGAGCCTACAAGGGGTCTCAGCGCTTCCGGTCCCTCACTTCATTCTGGGGAAAAGGTCGTCGGTGTTAACTACAAGGTTGCCTTGCAGGTGGCTGGAATCAATTTTGGAAGTTTCTGGGAGGCTGCTCAGTAACAGGTACCTTATCAAGTGTGGTAGCATACGCATACGCCTTCGGGTTTGGCCGTTAGGGGTTCGGGCGTCTCCCAGCCACGAGCCCTTTCTCCGAGCCTTAGAGCCATGGCTCGGAGGTCCCTTCGGCTTGGTGTGGGGGCTCATGGCTGAGTTGCGCTGTTGTGCAAGTCACGAGGGCATTATTTCAATCTAGGGGTAAGCTGCCAATAGTGGAAGCCCCTGGATACTCCAGGCACCCAACCTCCATTTTAGCGATGCAGTTGTTAAATGCATTTAAATGCAATTTAAAGGAGTTAACAACTAAGAGCGCCTTTAGTGCCTGAGGTCAGCGGCCTTTGGCATGCGTATGCCCAGTAACTGGTCACATCGATCATGTGATTCATTGGCGTGTTCAGTTTTCCTTCGTGCTAGGTTCTGTCAGCCATTTTCTTCCCCTCTCCCCTCCCTCTAGGCTTTGTTGTTTTTCTCCACTGATGTTTTTTTTTTTTTTTTCTTTGCTCATGCGTTTGTCCAGTAAATTTTATTATCTAGTATGTGTTTAATTGGGGTGTTGCTTTTTCGTTCGTGTTGGGTTTTGTCGGCCTTTTTCTTCCCCTCTCCCCTTCCTCTAGTCTTTGTTTTTTTTTTCCTTTGTTTTTTTTTTTTTTTTTTTCATTGTGACGGGTGCCTGTTCCTTTCCTTTCTTGTGGGGCTCATGGCTGGGTTGCGCTGTTGTGCCAGTCATGGAGACATTATTTCAATCTAGGGGCTGGCTGCCAATAGTGGAAGCCCCTGGATACTCCAGACACCCAGCCTCCTTTTTAGCGATGCAGTTGTTAAATTGGCTCAAAACACGATCGTGAGACTATAGCATCCAAGTTTACTTTTATGCTACTCACATTACACGCACCACTTTTGCGACAGGTATAGGTGAGTTTGTGGGCACTTTAAATTTTCGATACGCAGCTAATGAATTTTATTTGAAAATAGGTGTTACTGATTATTCTGGTTATCATAAAGAGATAATTCTTTAAGCCTATTTTATGGATATTTATACTCTACGTTTACTGGGCAGGTGGGTCTGCGCAAAAGTATCTTGTTTTTTTTTTTATGATAACTTTGAGAAACTGACAACTTTGAGAAATTGGGCGGTCGTCTGCCAATGGGTTAAAAACAGCCATGTTCGATTTGTCGTTTTTTGAGTTCGGGTACAACGAGGCACATTGTCATTCCTTGAAATTATGTCCCTTCTTCTCTTCAAAAATTATTATGGTTTCACAGAACCTCGACTATTGTAGTAGGAAAGTGACACATTTCTTGAAGTACCCGACCGTAACAGTGAAGAATGATTAAAATGATTAAAATTCAGTTCTCTTTGTCGTGAAAATAAGGCATTTAATTATACATTAATAGCTTGGAGAATTCGCTCAGTATATCAATTCAGTGCCAATCAAAAGGAATGAAACAAAACAAACTCACTTCAAGGCCTCAAACAAGCTATTTTCAAAGGTCGAAAACTTATCTCCGAAGTTCACCACACACCCAAAATGGCCTCGTTACACGCGAAAAATTGCCGCATGGAATCATGGGAAGACTGCATTATCCTCCTTTGACAAACTCCTTGGTTTCTCTATTCCGAATTGAAGGTGTTTCAAAAGACTAGTGGCAACAATATTTACATCTAATAGCTTGCCTCATTGTCATTGGTAGTTCGCATTCTGCAGATAATTACGGCTACGTACACACTATACCAGATAGCTCGAAAAGCTATCCGGTATTGTATGGACACCTATCGGATATGTGACTCTCCACTTTAAAGATCGGCGCAGCTCAGATTCGATCCATCACAGAAATCGCGCCGCCACAACCGTTCTTATACGTGAACAGAAGCCCTATTCGGTATGATTTTCATGGCGGCGCAAAAGCTATCCGGTATAGTGTGCACACCTATCCGATGTATAACTCTTAAGTAAAATCCAAGAGTGGTATATTATCAATGCTGCGTTCTGATTGGTTGAGCTACTACTAGGCTATATGTTATAGTCCACTAGTAGCGAAAAGCGCCGGCTTTGAAAACCAAAACAATGGCGGCTAAATCGCGTTTTGCTAGCTAAAGTTGTTAATTTGTCTCGATACTTTTGAGCAAGTAGTTGGATTTACTAAAACAATTATTCCTCTCGCCCTCATTGCCTCTGTAGTTCGCGGCCATGTGTAATCCCTTAGGCATTTCATGAACATTTTAGTTTCTTTGAAGAAATCTATAGTTTAAGAGGTGCTGAATCGTAAAAAAGTTGTCTGCAATTTTTTCAAAGTCATTTAAGATTAATTTATGCACATTAGATTTTTGACCCACAAAACACCGGGTACTCGAGTCGGGCTTTGTTATACATGTCCCAAAATGCTCCCATAATGCACAAAACTGTGCATCGTTCGCTTTTAAGTCTGTTCTATCATGTAAAGCCTCTGCAATCCCTTTTCCACAGTTTTAGAATTATGACAAAAGTCGAGTGTCATTGCTGTACAAATGTTAATGTTCCGTTAAGAAATGCTTAATTACAAAGCATAAATGACTTAGCATTAAGCAAAACATTTCCTTGTCCAATAGTACTTAAATATCATGGTCTGAGTTCCAACCTAGCAGATGGGCCTATATATGAAGGTCCTCGTCGTCACTAATATCCCCTGTTATATGCTCAACTGTATCAGTGTTACTGCTCCTGTTCGTACATTTCACTTCGCATGAACCACACATATCAGTGCATTTTAGGTTGTGTTTCCTGCACGTACAGCTCATTGTGCTGCAGATTCCTTTGCATCCACACTT